AACAAGTGCCTTACTACTAGGAACAAGAAGCTACTAGGAACAAGTGCCTCCATTTTGTAGTGAGAAAGGTTGGGGCCCTGATGTGACCCATAAGGTTTTGACGGTGATCAAAAAATGGGAAACCTATGCGCAAGACCAATAGTTTTGTTAGTTGCTGGTTTTCCCCGTGCCAGCTATGCGGCTATGCCGACCAAATCCAATCAGTGGTTGGACTACAACCGCTTGCAACACGAACATGGGACAAAACCAAGCACTGAACCAAGAATGTGTTACAAGATCTGTTCAACAGAATGTTTGCACGTGGTGCAGGTGCGCACGCTGCCGGTGACCCGAGCCAGCCACGTCCATTGGAGCGCGTGTGCTGGGTGGGGTGCTCGATGGTGCTCGTTGATCCGAGGTCCAATTGATTTCATTCCCACGGGGTCACTGACTTTCATTGTCCACCAACTGAACTATTGTTATTTTTATTGTAGTTCATCCAGATAGCTGCATCCTACTGGAGTTTCCGGCTGAGCTCCCCTACATCCCTACCGTCCTTTTGGACCTGAAGGGGGCGCTGCACATGCTGCACAATTTGGCACCCGAACAGGATACCTATCTTTTTGCTTGGCGGCCCTACTCCACAGAGCCTCCATTGCCTTTAGTGGCGACACCAGAGGTGGGAAGCGGAGTTCTTTGGTTCAGGATGTGTGTTGCGCACTTCCGGCGGAGACCAAGCATGATTTGATCAACATGTTGAACCAAATTGGGGCCGGTTACAATGACCTGTCTTGAGTTCCGCTGTCGATCAGCCTCATCGTGCACTAGCAGAAGCCACTTGTTTCATGTGTCATGAACAGAGGCATGCCTGCAGTGTCTCAATACCACACACAATTGCTAATTGTCCAGGCCGCTTTTTTGCTTTGACGTAAGATCTGTAAGAACACAAGGAAACCAGCAAGCGGGTCGTTCTTAAATGTGAAACATGCTCTGAAACTACCTGATGCCTACATTTGCATGGATGTTTCTTTCGGTTGCCATCCTCAAAACCAGCCGTATGTAGATTCAGATAGGTAGCTAGGTGGATAATTAGCGATCGATATCGAATCGGATCGATTGATTATTAGATATGTCTTATGTGCTTGTACTTTTCAATACTTCCTTGTCCTGACCGACTGACTTGAATTTGGTCAGCGGCGACTGACTGTGCTGATGTTGCAGTGCCGGTCTTTTGCAGCACAGCACGACCAGCCGCCGCTATACCTGTACTACGAGACTTTTGCGAATGGCACCAAGTCACTCGTGGCCCCACTTCGCGACGAAGCGTCGGGATTATGCTACTACCCAGTGGACTGTTTGTCTGCACCTTGTTGCGCGGCCCAAAACTGGATAGAGGGCGGCCAGACTAGCTCAACAAACATTGTGACTTGGCTAGCTGGGTGAGCTTTTTGTCCGAGGCTGGTAGTTCATTTGAATTGAAGTGAGATGAAGTGAGCAACATGCGTGACACCAGCGGAGTGAGGTGAACATTGCCGGCGCAGTGGTTTACATAGGTTTCACTATCTGGCTCAATCGGTGGATGACCCGGGTGCGGCAGCAATACGAGGGGGATGCAGATCCGCGGCCACCAAGTGGGATCCATGATGGATTGAACCTTCTTGGCATCTATGTGGGCATTTGCGCAACTCAGACCTCCATTTACGAACGGTTTAAACGTGTTTGGACGCAAAAAGCGGCCATCCTTTGGATTGGTTAGGGAAGTTAGGACCAGTGCGATGGTGTCCAACCTAATAGCAATGGCCTCCAACCGTTGTTTTCCAAATTTGGCCTTTTTTAGCCTTGGTGCTTTGCAGGTGACCGTCTTTGTATCTATCGCCATGGCCTCCAGCACGCAGCTTGCGTTGCCCGTGCCTGAGAGGAATTCTATGCTGGCAGCCATGGCTTTCTTGACCCCGGTGAAGGATATATTCCAGTTCCTGGAAGACGCTGAGCGCACAATAGAGTTGTTCAATGATTTTTGTTTTGGTGCTGATTGCTATCAAGCAGTTGCAATCACCCAAGGGTAATTAATGCAGAGTTGATGCCGCCAAAGACCATTTTCTGAAGCCCTCAGTCTCCTGTGGCCACAAGAGCGCTACTGAACGATCAACGTGGACACAACAGATGTTGCTGAATTTCTTCTTGACTTCTGATGACATCCACCGTAAGTTTTGCCAGGACACCACCACTGTGAAGATCACCTTAGCCCTGGGTGCCGGCGACTTCTCCTCCATTCGTCCCATTGCCTCCTTGGGCGTCGTTGGTGGATTGGCGGCAGGGACTTTGGGTGCACTGTTGATGACTCTGCTGGCGTTTTGGCCTCAGGTGCGGGATTCTGGAAGTCCACGTGCGGAACGCGTGGAGATGCTAGTGCGGCCAGGGTTATTATATTTCATGAATTCATGGCCGATGAATGGCCATAGATTCATAGATGCTCTCTTACTTTTGTTGCAGATCTATGGATTGGGCCCAATTGAGCCTTCTATCCGCAAACATCCACATGCACATGTCAGTTTGGTGGTTAACGATGCTCGTCCGGCGCCTTGTTGCGACAGGTCATCGAAGTTCTTTTGACTCCAGGAAGTGCACAGGCCATTGGGCAGAACCCTGGCTGCCAGCTGCTACCACATGCAGAGGAGGTGGTCCAAACCGCACGAGGCCTTTGGTTGCTGACCAGTTGGTCCTGGACACCTTGGACTTGCTAAGTTCAATTTTGTGGGTTTCACTTTGGGAAATGTTGGGAATCGGGAGTGTGTGTATGTAGTATAGAGCCCACACAAGACATGCCGACATGACTTACTTAAGCACTTATGCAGGCCTTGTTTTGGGAGGGCTCCAAATCCAGGCCTCTGCAGTTTTGCAGCATGGTCCTCTCCGGCATTCTCATGGGTGCAAGGGAATTCGCGATCTACGGCGTTTGCTCCGTGTTGTCACAAGGAGCTTTGGCGGCCATTTGGTTTCGGGGAGGAGTGCAGGACTTGCATCTTCTTGGCTGGGCCACTTTCACGTTTACTTGGATGTGAATCAGAAAGGCTGTCAAAAGATGGTTGGAGTTAAACACCGGGGCTCTTTGCATCCCCGAACTTCTGTCCTCCACTCACATCCATAACAAGGTTAGTCACAGACCCTTTTCCCATGCTTTTGGTCCACATGGGAGAGGTCCAACCTGGTCTTGTGCGCGTCTCTCGCTGTTAGCCTCATCCTTCATCGGCCTTTGCGTCAGAAGATGGGCTTGCTTCTTCGCCCCACTGTGGTGGAGGGTAGCATGGCAGAGGCGCTCAGACCACAGGCAACGACTCAGAAGGACACTTATCTATACATAAAACCTCTTTTGTCGTAGGTGTGCTGGGGCACCAGGTGCCAGTGGGCAAAAGGAAAAACAAAAGCATACAAGAGTGTTACAAGAGTACATAGCATCAATCTTGTTTTTGAAGCATTGCTGCAGTTCGACTCTTCACCCAAACGTTTGGGTTGACGACTCAAGAGCAGGATGTGCTGGTTGACGGCTTCCTTGCAATGATACTGGACTTAGCTCTTCAATTGGCCGGGACCACTTCAGTTTGCTCTCATACAGTTCAGAACAGTTTTTTGTGTTTTTGATCTTTTTTGTATCAGTCCATGCCGTCTCTATGGTAGTATACAGAGTCGCACCTTACAACTCTCAAAGTCTGATTGCTGTAGTCGGGTCCTTGCTTTGCACATCTTTGCACCCCAAGGCTTTTCGGCCAGTTAGGTCTTAGGTTCACACACACCCTGAAACTTGCAGGTCTATGTGGCCGCTTTTGTGAGTTTGCAAGATATGTATCAGCTGAGCTCTGCTGCTGCCGCATTGCCTCAATACTCAGCCTATGCCGTGGCTGTCGGCTATGTGGTCCGCTTGGTGGGGGGTGCGCTGGTCGGACGGCGAGCATTTGCCGAGTTTGCCCGGCTCATGCAGGCCCAGCTTGACGGGCTTGAGGTCAGAAAAGTGATCCGATCTGCGGCCATCTGCAAGTTTCCCTAAAAATCTAGGAACCAAATCATTAGTGCGAGCGCTTCTTCAAGGAAGCTTCCCCTGCCGCCTTTAGGGTGGCGGGGGGGAGCTTCCTGAGGAAGCGTGAGCTATCCTGCGTCCTAATTAGCTATAATATAGCTCTTCTACTACTAGCTACCTAGCTCTAGCTACTACCTGCCTCTACGGCCTACCCCCCCGTTTAAAAATGGCATGTACAGTCATGCGGTTTCGATCGAATCGGTTCATCTAGGTGATGATCATTCTGAGCATCATGTTGGGCATTATCTCAGCGATGGGCATCTATCCGAACAAGACAAGCCTAGCTGCATACTACTCAGTGCAAGCCTGTGAGTTTGCCAGCTCCCAGGACTGCCTTAATATTTATGCCGGGCTCTATGCTGAAGGCTTGGGGAAGTATGACGCTTTGCATTTTTTAGTCTCATTTTCCGGACCGTTGTGGTGGCACTGTTGATGTTTGTAGTATGGGCATGCATATGAAGATGGATTGTGTCGGTCCCCCCCGGCCATGTTTGCTTGTAAAGGGGAAGGTGGCTGACCATCATTCATATAACAAAAAGCCCTGCAGCACGCATTCCCAACAAGATGCTTGGGTTTTTTCTTTTCTTGACACCTGCCGGACCTGCCAAAATTTGAGTGCAGCATAAAATCAAGATCCGCCAATCTGAAGGTAGTAGTCGGTATCCAGGCTTTACAGTAATGTTTTGACAAATCCCATTCATTGATTTGGTCCTGCCGAAGAACTGCTCCACCTTTCTCAATAATGCTTCTCTCGCACATCTTTAGTATGACCTTCTCCGCCAAGTTTTCCTCCAGAGTCGGTATGATTTTGAAGATGCAGATGTATGTAGCCAATGCATGTAGTGTAGTGCCCACAACTGAGCAACCTGCCTGTTTTGATCTCAATCTCAGATCTCATCGAAGGATACGACTATTTTCACAACCTTCGATGTTTTTGGCATCACAGCGATGTTCACCTGCATTTTCAACGTGGCAAAGGCAGGGCTCTATGCCTGCCAAGACTTCAAGTTCATGGCCAAAGTGTCACTGGGTAAGAATGCAAGGCCAAGATTTCTCATGATTGGTCAACATGCTTTAGAGGTATTTTCAGTGGGAACCCAGCCGTTTGTAGTGGGGTTGCATTTGTTGCTACATATTTCCAGTGATTTGGAAAGAAGCTCTTTGCACTCGATAATGTGTTCGCGTGTTTCTTGACCAAAGCAGGCAGTGTTTGGAACTAAGGTCACTGTGGGTCCTGTTCTTGACCTTTCTGCCGGTGCTTTTGGTCGCTCGATTCTTTTTTTGTCAGCGCCACAGCCTTGTATGTAGCCTCTGTGTTGCCAAGCTGGGTCTTGACGCTGATTTTCCTTTGGCGACTTCATCGGTTATCATCTGAATGGTTCTCAAATGTCACCACCACTCCGCTATCCCTGGAAGTTGGTACAGCAGGGTGAGCGACGTGAGTGATAGTTGGCCTGCTCTTACAGACCATGTATGAGCTTCGTCAGCCAGTGGAGAAGTTGACGTCGTGTGAACTCTGCACCAAGCTGTCCCCAGGCAAAACTACTGCTGCTTTACGATTCATGAGGCAAAAGCTAAGCTTTCAAGAAGCTGTTGAATGGGTTGCTGTCAAGACATCCCCATCCCGCTTCTTTCTGAGGCATTCCATGTTATTGATTTAAATATATTCAAACCTTCCACGAACAATGAACAATTCTGGAGTGGCTTCTCACATCGTGGGTTGCTGTACTGTAATGCTCTTTCTGCGGAACTGCAAGTGCTGTACCAGTTGTTGGCGGCACGGATATGGCTTCTCATCCAAGAAACTCTTCCCCCGAAGTCCCTCACAAAACTCCATGAAGGGGCGATATTTTACAAACAATTGGCCGGGTTCGTCCAGAAATCACACGAAAGTGCACCGTCCTGGAGGCAAAAGCATTCGAAGCCGCCCAACACATTCTGGCAGAAGCGGAGCCACACGACGCGTGGCGTGGCGATGCGATTGAGCTGGGGAGTTGCATCGTCCGAGATGCCGATCGATCCTATCGTAGTTGGACTCCACCACCTATAGCGATGGGCGATGGCCTCCAACCTAATAGCGATGGCCTTCACCTAGTGGCTTCTTGTTGCGGTGAGTTGCATCAAGTCTATCGACATGTTCGCCATTGAAAAGCCATGTCGGCTTTGACATTCAGGCGTGGTCGAGGATAGGTGTTGCACTACCTTGATCACATACAGTCTGGTCTTGCACTTGCGTGGTTCGGCTGCACACCGCATTTCATTGGAGTTGAAGGATGGGTGTTCCTTGCGACGTCTCCATGCGCCAGCTCCGCCGCCGCTTCGGTTGCCTCACCAAGCTGCTGAGTGGATACGATGACCCGGACCTGGGGAACTGGGAATGAGACGCGGTTTGAGTCGGTTGTGGAAAGAATTATGGGACTGGATCGTAGCTAGATTTGACCTGCCTGATGGTTCAATGCATGGTCATGCTGGTTGAATTGCATCAAGATATTGTATGTTCAGAAGTCGCAGTAGGCAATGTTCTTCTTATTCAGGCTTTCTTTGCGGCCACCCCGACAAGTTATGTGGTGGCCTCCTGCTTTGGAGCACAGTCCAGCGCTCTTTCTAGAGCGGACCTTGTTTGGTTTGTTGTGTGATGTTGTGTGTATTTCAAGCTCTTAGACACTTGAAGGAAGCTAATGTGATACCCTACTCGTATTATGTTGCCGCCAAATTTTCTCCAGGAGATTCTGGCAGCCTTCCAGAAAGTCAAAGTGGCATTTGATGAGATGAGATCAATGAGAAGCGTGGAAACTACAGAAGACAAAAAGCAGGCACCTATATAGCTAGACGCACTGTCCATAGCCCATAGCTCTTGCTATTGTGTGTGTGTGTGTGTCGGGTAATCACGCTGAGAACGGCTGCCAATACGGGCTAATCAAGGTAGCTGGTTCATGGATAGTTCATGCAATATAGACGGAATTGGAACATATAGATAGAATTATTTGGATCTATACTCTATACTCTTACAATTATATATTTGTTATCAGGTTCTGTTCTGTCATATATACATTAGAGTATACATCAGTATCGTTCACACAGACACATTGTCGCAAGTTACTGGACTGGGCCTTCCAGCAACCAAACGGTGCGGCTTCACTATAGGTTGGAGTCATGGGCTTTGACCTGTCAACCCTGCAATGAACATGGGGCGAACCGGCTCCTGGCTCACAGCTCAGTTCGTAGGAAAGAGATAGCCTGATGCAGTCAGAACCAAAGTATGCACGTGGCCTCGTGTCATGTTGAACATGACTTGAAGAGGGGTCGCAACAGTGTCCTTGGCAGGAAACCAGCCTTACTATTGGGGTCCACGTTCAATGTCGTAAATCTGCAAGCCAACACAAACATACGCCAACCGCTGGAAAGATGGGATCGGTGCTGTAAAGCAGCAGCTGTGGCCATGGGTCTTCCTTTTCACCAGGGCGTGTACAGGTGGGCAACTTTGATCCGACACTAGAACATGAAGAATATGTTATTAGCTTGGTCACCATACGTTTGTACATGGGCCTCCGCTGAGGATATATTGACTTAGCCGACCCCAGAGGTCCACAAAAAAGAAGTAATGCCAATGCGACATCCTGTCGGGTTTGTAGGTACGTCTCGTTTGGAGCAGTGTTCTTTTTGCTTGAGCACGTCTGCAAACTGTGCATTTCCTTTTCGCGTGTGTTGCATTGAAGCCCACGAGACGCAATTCAATACAATCCCTAGAGCTGCGAGCCTGCAGCTTTCCCAGGATCCAAAAATCTATGGCCTTTCTAGCGCAGGGCGCGGCACATTGTGGCACACTTGACGTTTGTTGAACAAAAGTGTGGAGGTTGGAACACCTTTTCGCCCTGTCGAAGGGACCACCACGAAGGGAACACTCGGATCCCTCCGAGACCGAGGCCCCAAGCGTTCCATGTCCTTTCTGGACCTGGCTTGCGGTCAGGCCAGGCTTGCCCCTACCAAAGTAGAGTGGATAGGACAAGGAGGAGTGGATGCCGACACGATAGCGTTTAGTTATTGGCATGGGGTCCGGAGACAAGAAAAAACGATACTGATACAATATACAAGTAGCATCATCGTGGCTTGTTTACTGCTCATACAGAGTATGGAGACTGATTAGGTTCTTAAGTTTGATATAGTGGCATAATGGCTTTTAGATTTGTCAGGTGTTGTAGTTTTGGTGTTGGAGTTCTTTGATGCACTGTTTCGGTCCAATTTGCCGATGGCATCCGAATAGATGGGCATCCAGAACACTGGAACTTCAACAAAGATGTGGGGAATTCGGGAAGCAAATATGCTCCTACCCTCTGATGATTTGAGTAGTTGTGCAATGGGATAGCAAGCACGGGAGCCACGAAGGCAATGGTCAGGTCCAGATAGATTGTTTTGACAACGCCACTGTGCTGACTTGCATGCACTGTGCATTACGTCGGACAATGCACATGCACTGTTTCTGAACAATTTTGGTTGGAACAGGCTTCAACGACCTTAAGAAGCTGCAATGGAACAAGTTGTAAGATGTGGTGTGTATATTAATTCACACTTGCATGTAGCTTGCGGATGCAAGTTTTATGTTCACTGAAGTTCACAAAATGTCCCACCGGGACATTTTGGCTCAAGTTGGTGGCAATCATCCACAGGATTGCACCTGAACTTTTGAAGAAACTCCCCAGTACATCGGTTTTTTTGGTGAACACGACGCAATGGCGCACCCGATGGAAGCGGAGTATGTGATGATCGAATCTTTCCGAGACGCCCAACCAGACGATGGGGATTCGGCTACGGTCAGTAGCCCGGGCATTGAGAGTTTGGACCAGGCAGCAGATGCTGCGTCTACAGCCCTCCGTCATGCGGAGGCGGAAGGGGCTCGGGGCCTTGCCGTTTTTGGGCAGCCCATCTTGGTCTCCGAGCTGGACGCTCAAGAGCAGATTCGCCAACTGGAGCGCCACCTGCAGGAACTCAAGGTCCAGATAGCCAACCAAGAAGACGCGGACATGGGCGTGGACCTCCTGGGGCGCCCCTGCTGATGGCGGCGCTGGCAACCCTCCTGCGGGGAGGGTTGCGACTGCGGAACTCTACTACACCTTCTGCAGCGGAGGCCCAGCCTGCGCTCCTGACAACCATGGCGGAACCACCGTTGGCCTGGCCTGTTTTGGTGGAGCCACGACCAGCTGCTCCGCCTCAGCAGATGGAGGACGACAACAGTGAGCGAGCGGGCCTAGGTTTCACGCCCCCCTGCACCGGCAGGGTATTCGGTAGACCCTTTAGATGCCATGGCGGCGGCTCCGGCGCCTTCTTCACCTACGGCGAAGGACCAAGCCCCAGAGCCTCCACGGCCGAGCAAGAGGCCAGCTCCACAGCCCATGGAGGAACCAACATCCAAGACACCTACCTTGCCGGGCTTCACGTGGGCCTCCGGAGCGACAGTGGCCTCGGTCCCTATGCCAATCCGGTTCATCCCGGTGCCGGATCCGGCCATTCCGGGCCACCTGGCGGGGCTCCTCACCTCGTGCACGGAGAAGGAGATGGTCCAGCTCTTCGACCAGTTCACGGGCTACCCACTCTCCACGCCGGTGGTCACTCGCATCATCGAGCAATACATCCCCCTGCGGGCCTTGGCGAATCCTACTGCCTGACACACCCTTGTCCCCCTGGCGGAGCCCAGGGCAGTTTGAAACTGACCAAGTGATACAGGGTCTGGGGGAGGACCCCAGCATCAACCAAAGCGCATTGGAAAAAAGCCTGCATGCAGCTTTTTGCGCTCTTGGGATCTTTTTGACTTCTGGGTACATTATATAACATATACAGATACATAAATATATGTAATATATTTTTGTATAAACATATGAGTATATATGTTATGTAGTTCACAAGTCTTGCATTCCTGCAAACGTTTTGGTTTGAGCAGCCATTAGCAGCCTTAGGAATTTGCAAGTTATAGATGTTCTGCAGCTGGCTCATTCCTGTACAACGAGGTTCTCAAAGGTTTGGTGATCCAAGGCTGCAAGGTGAGATGGGTCAAATGGAGTGAGCACCTCCGAGCACAAGCACAACAGCCCGGGCACACTGGAATATCTTGTGCCAGGACCACCTGAGGCATTGGTTGGACCCAATCCCAAGGATGAACAAAGTTTCAAGAACCCTTCAAACTGCAAACACTTGCGCTGCAAACATCCTCCCTCGCAAAGCAGCAGGGCAATCATAACGACATCAGGGAGATTAGCCTCTCTTTTGTGACACCTTCACGTCATCACGACGCTCTTCAACGTCATCAGAACTACGCTGGCGCTTTGACATGGGTTGCTGGTCAAAGTTCTCCCAAGAGTGGTATGGAACGAGCAAAACGCTGCCATGGTAAAACCAGTTGACAACAAGCAAAGCTAAGCACGGATTTCTGAAATCGCAAACCCTCTTCATTTTAGGCCGTCCTGTGACAGGCGTCTATGAATAGACCTGTGCATCCGTCTACGTAATGGCTACATGGAATTCTCGTCAAGTGAATTGAACGATTTTTGTCCTGTGGCCTTTTCAAATCAGCCCAGAAACCTGAAATGCTCAAGCTTCTTGATTCAGGTATGCTCACAGAAGATGTTTATCCAAACATTTAGCGAAATGTGCAAACACCTGGAATGTATCATGCAACATTTGATGATGACAATTTTTGATTGAACGTGACCCAAATAGAACATCCGCATAATCAACCTCAAGAGCTGAAATAGTTTACCCTTATTCAGATAAGTCATTCCAAAAAGATTCGCAAAAGACAACAACTGATAAAATTTGCTCGTGATATTTTTGAAGGGTTTAAAAGATTGCTCATTGATTTTGTTACTTTCAGCGGGATAGGCTGTCCCCCCTCCCAGTGATCGATTTCAGTCCAGTACATCGACGTTTTGAGTCGTCTAAGGGCTAATTACCAATATCCCACTAGTTGCCTGTTTGCTTGGTGACAACAAGATATGGCCTGAGCAAGAAAGAAACTGCAAGTTGCATTGCAATCACGATATGACTTGTGTTGCCCTCAAAACCTTTCAAAGGGTAAGCAACCCTGAGAGGGCTCACGACTTCGGGGTTCCAAACATCCTTGATACTTTGTTTTCCCGACGTGCTTTCGAGCAGATTAAAATCCTACGTAGTTCTTTTTTAGTGGACATACCTGAACCACACGCTTTTAACTGTGTTCGCAGTTTTTGGCTGATTCCTGTTTGGTTTCTTGAATGATTGCACGATATTGTTTCCCAATCAGGATCTATATATATATATATATGTAGCCTTTGCTTTGATAGCTACAACCTTTGTTTGGCTCCTGATTTATTTTAACGCTCGCACAGGAGAACGACCACCCAAAGCAAATTTAGATTTGCAGAAAAAACACATTTAGCTAAGGATATTGGATTTGGGATCACAGTATCCTTTGATTGCGGCATTTACATGCATTTATGATTTATGTATTGAATGGCTTTTGCATTGACTTATTATATAAAGCACCCAACATGCTGTGGGGAAAGCTTACATTTACACAAATCATTGACTCCGGATTTCATCAAAACATCGCGAAATTGGTTCTTTTCTACACCTTGTGAATACAAGCATTGATCTGCTTTCTGCCTGTGTTGCGTATTTGCAGCAAAAGCACAATATTTGGTGAAGGTGCTTCGGATTCATGAGGATTTGAACGCTACTTGTGCGTGCAATAGTATGCGGCATGCGACATATGCGACTACTCATCGCAATGAAAACCGGCATGTGAGTAGATACCTGAGGGTTGGTGTCTCAGAGGTTTCCGCCAAGCTTTTGCACT